TTTGCCAGTCCTTCTGCAACTGCCACGGACGCACGCACCAAAAGTCCAAAGAAAGAAACGGGAGTCCAGGTCTGACAAAGAAGCTGCAAAAAGACAGAAACTACCTTTGATAGTTTACCGAGCTGCATTTTGCAGGATACGTAGTTCAAATATCGCATCACGCTCGTGCCACACGCCTGCTTTTGAGCAAAGAAATAATTTCAAATGTATAAAGAGATGATATTTTCTGACCAGACTGATATTCTTTGTGAGCATATGTATACAGAACTATCCACACATAAGACACGTAAATCATTTGATGATGTGACCATCTCTAGTGCCGAGGCCCTCAAACAAACATCCGGGGTGCCACTATTTGCTGACGATGCGGGTACAGAAGGACCGGCGAGGCGTCTGTCTTCGGTTCTCCGCATCTCTTATTCCTGTGGATGGCCCACATGAAGCGCACCGCTGTACCACTCAACGTGCATATACAATTAATAATAAAAATATGTAGGAGAGAGCTGGACCTTCTGGTTTCTTTTTCAAGATGCCTGTTTCACACCGAGGAGGCGTCAGCGTGGTTTGGCTTCTCTTTGGGTCTCGGACCACCAGGGTAACGATTCGGGTCGAGCATCTCAGCATCCGCTGCCTCGTTGTCTTCTTTGTCCAGCTCGTCCCTCCATCATAGACCTCGCCTCTCTTTCACTCTCTCTTATTGACTTCCAGATTTTCCTAATAGATAATGTGGAGCTCTTTTAATTTTTCTATCGTGCTCGTGGTGCCAATGAAAGTCTGAAAAGTAACAATGCAAAAGCCAAATATCTTCCATCCGTCACAATGAACAGTGTGCGTAGCTAGTCCAGCTAGGCTAACGTCTGTGCCCCCTCAGCTTGTATTATTGGAATTCCTTTAATTCCAATATTGATCAAAAGAAAATGAAATTCAAGCTTTTGATGAAATAAACATTGTACATACAATTGAATTAGCCGTATTCTTGTATCTGCCCATGACAGTCAATGACTTCTGGACAGTTTTCCAAACCACGAAGAAATGTTCATACAAAAGTATGGATTATCAATCAGGTTGAAACTTCCTCTTTAGATATGAAGTAATATTAACTAGACTGAACTGCCCTGAGAAACAGGACTATGGTTAAATAATGTAAACTTGTATTGAATCTGGGTCAGTTCTTCTTTTTCTCCTCCTCCTGTCAAGTCTTCTGTCCCTCTGCCTCCTCGTCCACTTGTCCTTCAGCCATCCGCCTCCATCTTCACTTCCTCATCTGGGCTCTGTCTCCACCACTCCTTACTGTCCTTCTTCTTCTTGTCCTCTCCAGAATGTCCGCCCTGTATCGGCCGTGGTGCCCCATCACATACTTCAGCCATCAAAGCCTTCTGGTATTCGTTGATACAATTTTACAGGAGAAGCAGAAGTCCATTAAAGGATATTTAGAGATGAGGAAATCCTCATGGATTTTGTTGAGCAGAGAGGGGAAGGTTAGACACCAGGAACCTTTCTGACAGCGATCACTCTGAATAGGGAGAGGCAGAGTTCTCCATCCTGCCCTTAGTGGACACGAGGCCTTCCCTTTACTTTTAATATCTGACCTTCTCTGAACTTATGTCAGTGTTGTTTTTAGTCCTCGTCTTTATCTCTTGTCTCGTTCTCTCTCCTCTCTTTCCCTCCTATCTGCACACACACAGACACACACACACACACCTCTCTCTGTTATTCCCAATTGACCCACTCTCTCTCTCTCTTGATTCCTCTTTTACTCTTTCAGTGTTTTCACGATTCTCCTCTTCTCCCTCATTCTCGCCCTTCCCTTTTTATCTGTAACTGCATCTCATGACCGAGCTTAGAGCCGCCTTCAGTTTAACTCGACTAACTGCTTCCCCCACCATGTGTCCCCTTTGGTAGACCCCGTCCCCTTACCCTACAGTACTAATAAAGGCTGTTGGTCCAAAACAAAAAAACACAGAAAGGACATCGATCATCTCCTTTTCAGCTTCCTTTATTTTATTGTTTCCTTCTTCCAGGGAATGCCACGTCTGTAATCCTCTCTAACTTTGAGAACCCCTTAAGACATGGAACCCGTGTGGCATTTAGGGAGATCTTGACTTGATGTGAAACACTGACATTGCTATTCCATTTAAATAAGGGAACCACGAATGTAACAACGTAGAGAGCAAAATAAATCTGTAAATCAGCATCCAAGTTGGATTGAGGATACTCTCTTTGTGCGGATGCACGGCCACATGTACTGTGAAAGTGGGTTTTGAGGGAAGTCGGGGGGGTTGAGGGCTGGGTAGCAAGTTTGGGTTTATATAATGGGAGTGAGGTAAAGGCATGTCGCATGCTCCATGTGTCCGGGGGTCTGTGGGATTTTTTTTTTTTTCCAAGGTGGGTGTTGTGTTGCATGCGGTCGTCGCACTCTTTGTCGCATGGCTACGGGCGACATGGAGCCTGCACGCCGAGCGCTGTGGATGTTGGCCGATGCCCACCAGCCTGCCGCACACTTTGGCTTTGGGCATGCCCAACACTCGCACACACTCCGGGAACACACAAGCATGCACACAACCCCGCCACCGCCATCGTACTGCCGTGCTTGCCAGTCGTGAGTGCCCAACGCTCATGTTCGTGGGTAAATTCAATGGACGCCAGCTGGTCGGCATGGGAACGGCAAGCGGGCCCCGGACCGGGCCCGCCTTGCCCTGTTCTAATCCGCAGGTTTCTCCATTGGTTTTACCTCGCACAGTATGGACTTGTAAAAGACAGGGAACCTCCTTACAGGTTGGGGGAGCTCTATAGCAAATGCCTCAGTTAAAAAAAACTTCAGCTGTCTCCTGAAAAATAGCATTATTACACCAGTGATACTGTTATTGTCCTCCAGTCGACCGATTTTGTCTCCAAAAGACTGCAATTAAGCTCCCTTAATTGCAGTTGTGTGTAAGTAGGGAGGACTCTTGGGGTTAGAGCTGGTGGGGTGATGGGGGTATGTGGATTTGGTGTATGTCCTGTTTCATATTTATACCTACATGTGTGTAACAACAGAGATGTGTGAATGTGCCAATGCATTCACACATTTGGGGAACATGGGCACAGGTTGGGTCGGAGGCCATTCCGGCTCCGATTGTTCTTCCGTGTGGTTCTCGGCTCTCGCGGTTGCTTAGCAGCAGGTGGCCTTGGTTGGATAACTGTGCTGTTTCGTAGAGTATCACTGGAAACACAGGAGACGCAAGTTTCTTTTTCTACACGCTAATGCACGGGTGAAATTACCAACACTGTGCAGCAGACTGAACGCATGGATGCTCAACAGTCGCTATGTGGAGGGCAAACCTTTAAGTAAAATGGACTGACTTGACTCCATAAGCTTCATAAGCATCAGAATCCTTTCCTGGACTCCAATCCGTTTCAGTAAACATCCAATAAAACCACCTCTAATTGGCTGTTGTCTATGGAGCTCTCTCAACCCCTGCCCCTTCCCGGAGGTTCAGGCACACCACCCTAGCGAGGACACGTCCCTTTCTCATCCTCTCATCCTGACTGGCTCTCCGCAGAGGCTGCTGCGCATGGATCTGCCGGTTGCCGATGACAACACGGTGCATTTTAACTCCACCCTCATGGCTCTGATCAGGACAGCACTGGACATAAAGATTGCCAAGGGTACGGCCTTTCAGTACTATCATCCTTTTATTCTACTTGTTGCTCTCTGGTCTGACACTTGTGGGTAGTTCTGGGAAATTGACGGGTATGACGTCATTGCCGCTAAATATATGTTTGTCTCTCCTCAACTAGAATGATCCAGATTATTTCAATCTGACAAAAGTCTTTATTCCGGCTCTAACGAATAACCTTTTTGTTTTGGGTGAATGTGTGCACGCATGAATGGATGAATATATTCGTTTTGGGGATTTTGTGCCGTTGTGCCTTCCTTCTTTGCCCTGTGTTTATATGTCGGGGGGGGGTTTGCATTTTTATGGATGTGTGCTGTGTGTGTGTTTAAATGATGTGTGTGTGTGTGTGTATGGGGGGGCACTCTGGTTTTTGGGGGCCACCCAGGCGGTGCAGACAAGCACCAGATGGATGCAGAGCTGAGAAAAGAGATGATGGCTATTTGGCCAAACTTGTCGCAGAAGACACTGGACTTGCTGGTTACGCCGCACAAGGGTAAGTTGCAGACAAAAGCACAGTGGTGTGTGTTTGTGTGCGTGAGCGTGTGAGTGTCTACGATCACCAACTCACCAAGAGGACAGCTTCAACCAGCCAGTGTCATTCACTGCTTCGCATCCCCTGATCAGGTCCCTGCAGCTTAAACACACACACACTGAACAAACATATGAACACACGTGTACACCGGAGTACATTCTGCGTATCCCAATGTCTCCGATGCTGTGGGGGCAAGCCGGGGGCCTGTTGTGGCCCAGGTAGACTCACAAGTCATTCTCTAAACGGTGTGCGTAGCTGAGACCGAAAACCTGAAAGAAAGGAAAAACAACGCTGGTTTAAATAAAAGCTGTTAATCAAAACCAGAGTACCTGGCGGTCTCCAATGGAGCCGCGCTCTAGACGATGCTGTTGGGTCAGGTCGGGTTATTTATCATTACATTACATTACATTACATGTCATTTAGCTGACGCTTTTATCCAAAGCGACGTACAGTAAGTGCATTCAACCATAGGGTACAAACTCAGGAGAACAAGAAACAAGAAAGTGCAATTTCCTCAAATAAGCCAATTTACAATTTGCTATAGATGAGTGACGTTACAAGTACAATTTAAGTGCTACAATTTGTTAGTCTTTAGTCAAGGTAGAGTCTGAAGAGGTGTGTCTTTAGTTTGCGGCGGAAGATGTGAAGGCTCTCTGTGGTCCTGGTGTCCTGGTCCTGGAGAGCTCGTTCCACCATTTCGGCGCAAGGACAGCGAAGAGTCGAGACCTAGTCGAGTGTTTTGCTCTCAGTGAGGGAGGGACGAGCAGTTTAGCAGATGCAGAGCGGAGAGTGCGGGTTGGGATGTAGGGTTTGACCATGTCCTGGATGTAAGCTGGACCCGATCATCACAACGCCGACTCACTTGCTCGTAATCGCTCGCCACACGGTTCTACGCCCTTTGCTTTGCTAACCGCGCACTAAGTTCAATGTCAATTTACGTACTTTTCAAATAGACAGACACACACAAACTGACACGAAAGGTGTCATCAGAGTAAACACACCTTCACTGACCTGTCCATCCATTCACAAAGTCCTGGTATCAGGGGGTGCCTACTATAGAAGATCCTCTATAGAAGTCTTTTCACTACAGGAAGAATAAAACAACAAACAAACTAGTAAAACAGATCAAGCCTCACAGGTTAATTCAAAATGATTGTGTTGAATGACCTTTTTCTCTAGTAAAATGATGCATGCTAAGCAGAAGCCTCAAGTTGTTTGGCTAAATGCATGTCAGCTAATGACACACATGGGTATGATATATGTGTGCTTGTATCCTACAACACGTTTCTATACGTCTTAATGCCCTACGACTTGTAGCCATGCCACTTTGAAAAGGACGCCAGCCATTCAGTAACCCCCCCCCCGGTTATTTGACAACCAAAACAAAGCTCAATATTTTTCTGACTTTAAATGTCTGTGTGTTCCATCCAAACTCTGGGGATACATATCCAGAGTTTTTAGAGAAAAATTGAGCTAGGGTTCTCTTGGGATTCTTTGACTGAGGCGTCCAGATGTTTCCTAGTGAGGTGGCTGCCGGGTCCTCGGCCTTACTGCCACGGTTAAACCAAGTCCCGGTTTGATACGGTTAGGTGATAGTGGAACCCGAGAATGCTAAATGGTTTGGTATCCAAAACGCATCTGCCTGTGAAAAGACTATTGGCCTTGTTGTGTTAATTTTTGTACAGTGGTATGATTTTGTATTTGTTGGTTCGACACCACAGAGCGAGCTCAGTTCTGTTTCAGTTGAAGCTTCACAGGGAATGTTTAGGCAGCAATTATCGATGTTGCTGCAAAGACAACAAAAAAGATTAGAATTTTCTGTTAACATGAGTGTATATGCCTCTTTTTTAACGCCGAATCTCAATCTCAAAATTTGGCAATTTAACATTTGAGGGTAAAACATAAGACTAACAGTAGCCCTCTCTTCTTACCTTCTCATGCATATATGTGTAGATACCATAATAAGCTGTTAAACTGGTCTGAAAGCATATTTGATACATTAACCTCTAAGATGTTTGTCGCTGAGCTTTAGTATTAAAATAAAAAGGATTTTGAGCTCTGTGTTGGAAAGATTGATCGTCCAATGAGAATGAGGTGTTGTGAACCCAACGGGTGCACGCGTGCATGAAAGTTAAGTATGTTTGCATGCATATTGCAATGCATATTTGAAAGCATTTGTTTGTCTCTACGTGAGTCGGGAACAGGAAATGAAGTTATTTAGTTTGGTTTGCTGCTCCAACACAGTGGTTTATTGCTTGCAATTATTGGTTACCACCAACCAAATATTCTTTGACGATGAAGTTGCCTGAACATTTAGTTGAAATGTTCCGGGGATCGACATGAAACAGAAGTGTCCCAGCTGCTGGTGTACGTTGCATGTCGTTTTGAATGTGTCTCGTACCCCACTCCCATCCCCCCTCCCCCCACGGCTCAGGGTCCCATCTCACCCGGGTCTAATCTTGCAGGGTAACTTGTCATTTTCTCAGCAGCCACAGACTTGACGGTGGGCAAAATCTACGCTGCCATGATGATCATGGAATACTACCGGCAGAGCAAGACGAAAAGGCTGCAGGCCCTGCGAGAGGAACAGGTAGACTCCATCCCAGAGAAATTCCCCGATTGCACAAAGACACCCTTCTCTCCTTTTGTAATCGTCCGCCTCCCCCCGGCCCTCTTCTCGCTCCCTGTGGCCCTTGGACTGAATTTTGCCCTTGTTCTGCCGACCATGGATTGAAACGCATAAGAACCACGTCTTGTACATTCAAATCCAACAAAGGCTCCCAGTCACACTTCACCTCCTCGGGTTTTCCTTCTCATCCCGTGTTCACCCAAACCCTCCCTCGCTGTCAGCCTGTGCTGTGGCCTTTATCAGCATGCTACTCACAAAAAACGGCGTGCCTTTTTCTCCAGCACCTCGACGCCCTCTCGGCCAGCCTGACGTCGCGCTTGCAACCGGATGATGTTTGATTTCTCGAGCTCTGTGGCGACCTTTTCTGCTGCTTTTTCTTTTCACCGCGGGCTGTTTGCACATGGCGAGGAGGATTAGGGGGTTGCCAAGGTTTACCGATGTACAAATATCTTCTTTGTCGTTGTCGGTAATGTTCTGAGCAGCGATGATGACACCACATGGCCTTACCTTTTTGTTCCCCGTCAGTGCTCCTCCCCCTCTTGTCGATGAATGCCCTTGCGATGCACTCGCTCCCGCTGTGTCCGTATTTTTCGGATCCACACTTTGGACGTGTGGGGAAACATCTCTCCACTCATAACACCTCCTGTTGATCCCAAATTTGACGTCACAAAAAACAAAGTCATCTTTTTGCAACCCCCTTCTGTCTTGACTGAGACAATGGGATTTCCATTTGGCCGAACGAAGGAGTGCACTAGTGGATGGAGAGTATGTTAGTCTTAAATAAAAGCGTAAATACGGTACGTGTTGCTATGCAGCCATCCCATTGGACCGAATGGGCAGGTCCACACAGGCTCTCTCAACATCAACAGTACACAGGGGCTTTAACAGGCCTGTGTCTGTCAGTTTGTCCCCATCATCTCCATCCAGCATCTCGTCTCCTCCTCTCACTGCGGTCTTTGTCTTCCTAATGACCAACCATTTTAAAGGAAGAATCCAACCCAAGAGAAGTCAAGGTTTCCTTATTTTTTAAGTTTACAGTAGAGCTACAATCGAGCTTGATAGCAGAATATTTCTGAAACATCAGCTGCTCTCATGACCTCCTTTGAAGTCATGGAAACCACTGAGAAACTGCCGAAAAGGCGCTTTTCTGACTCTAAATCCTTCGCCTTGTTCTTTTCTAGAGAAAGTCGTTTCACTCTTTCAGTTTTTGTTTTTAATCGGTGCTAAACGCCGTCTGACGTATGAGGTTTAAATGCCTATCCAAGTTTACAAATGAAACACCGTCAAATCAAGTGGTGGATTTTTTCTTCAAGTCCTTTTCTCTCATCTCTCGTCCTCCTCTTCCTCCTCCTATGTAGTCTTTGTGCCTCAGCCATCCTTTTTGGTGTATGTCTCGCTGTTCATCCTGTCTCCGGTACTTGTTTTCACCCTGTTGTGGAGTCTGCTGTCCCTCATGTCCGTCCTCCATGTCGTCTCTGTCCCTCTGACGGTCTCCTTTTCTTTCCAGGAAGAGATGGAGGACCTTGACTTATCAAGCGCTCCCCATTTGGTCAATCCGGGTGGATTATCACCAAGTTGCTCTGACCGAGATCCATTGTCTGTTTGTCCATGAATCTGTCTGTCTTTCTGCCGTGGTGGTGGTTGGTGGGATGTTGAGTGGAGGTTCCTGTGACCAGTATGTAATCACTTTGGGACCATTCATTGATCCGTCTGATGCTTCTCAAACATGCGCCATCAAAGCCGGTATACGCGGTGTGTGTTTGGTGTTCATGTTTTTCCTCATGATCCATCTAAATATTATGTAAAGTGATTTTTTTTTCAAGCCAGTGCCAAATCAGACAGTCAAGAGACAAACGTGAGCCATTTACCCCGGTGGCACTGGTAATGACCACTGGACAGGATTACGCAAGCAAAGTGTAAAAGTTACAATTGTTTCATCTTCTCAGATAATTTCAGTTAAAAAGGAGACAATAGAAGGTTAGACATTAAATACCCTCTGGCAGCTGTACGCTTATATCAGCCGCCATGTTTTCATGCTCTGATGATGTCCGTTTTTTAAAGCTATCGGCTTTCGGGCGGGGCTACACGCTGATTGACAGTTCTCTACCAGAGACGTATTTGTCTCTACGTCACTTTGTCGGATTAAGATTCCGGAAGCAACTGCAAAGCCTCCTTCACTAACCAAACAACGGCTGTTTCCAAAGCCATATGTTTGAGTTTATACATATACTATATTATATATAGCATCTTTAAATTGTAGCCAGACGAGCTCCTGTCCAGCCGATCAGCCTGATGTGCCGGAGGAGGTTTGTCTGTTTGTGAACCGGCCTCCATCCATCTGCACTCATTTAGCATTCAGCCCAAAGCTTCCAGGCTGCTGAGGGACATGACAAAGGCTGTAGCAGTCATGAACCGCATTACCCCACTCCTGAGAGGACTCCATTACCCAGGATCCCCTGGGAAGAAAGCTGCCTGACCTCTGACCTGATGTTGACAGAAGTTGTTTTAACCAGTTCAGGTTCAGTGGTCTTCTTCCCACAAAATGGCACATTACTCAAAACGTCTTGGCAGATGAAGGATCGCACCGATAGCCAAACTGTTATTTTTGAGTAAAATGTCTTTTTTGATGATGTGTTTTCATGAGTTTTGTAATTTGGTCCAACACCATTTAACAGCAGTTGTACCTCAAATGCAAAGGTAGAAGTTCCTCTCAGACACAGATCTGAGATCAGCTTCCGTCACTGAAGATCCAACCGAACCCATGTGAAAACCAGAAAACTCAAATACTCCTTTTTTAGATTTGCTTATTGAGTGTGGCGAGCAGATCCCAGATCAGTCGTCTGGCAGGGACCTTTACGTCGGATACCCACAGCCATGTGTTTGCCGATGGCGCCCCGTGTGGGTGCATGCTGCGAGTGCATCCTGTGTTTGTGTCCTGTGTCTGCCCCCTGAGTGTGCCTGATGCCAGCCTGCAGGCCATGTCGTGTATCTCACACAGAACCGAACGCCATTAATGTTTCAGCGCATGGAGCCCTCTGAGGGAGGGGGCACGGACGGCCAGGGGGGTCAGGGCCTCAACGGCCTCCCCAGCACCCAGCCAGACAACATCATCAGCGTGTGAGTAGATGGGGTAGGGGGGTATGAACACATTGATTCCACCTGTGGCCCCTGGGGTCAGTTTATTGGGGGCCTGAACTGGAGGACGAATCTCCCGGCTCTTTTAACAAGTTATGACATTAAAAAGGACAAAAAAAGATTTAGATCAAACTTTGGTGAATTACTTACTTACTAAATATTGCAGATGGTGAGGCCGTGTGATTCATTCAGCTAGTCGTGTTGGTAAAGTTAGCATGTTAGCATGGTCAGAGGTAAAAAAAAACAGGACTTCAGAAAAAAAACTAAAGTCAATTGACTTATTTGAACGTAAGTTAACTTTACTCCATCAACTCATGTAGGTGTTTAAAAACATAGCCAAGTAGTTGCGTTGCCTGTGAAAAAAAAGTGACATAAGATTCCTATTCGGAGAGATTTAACATTAGCTTAGCCGTTTGCTTAGTCAACGGCACTGTGCGACTCGGCGTTCTTTGGTTCCCTGGTCTGTAATCCCCCTGACTGACCTGTGTGTACGTGTGGACGGCAGGCCGCCAGAGGGGGGCGTGACCGAGAGTCAATCGTGGGTGACGGCCAAAGCCCAGGAGATGTTCCAGAATACGGGTAACTGGAGCCCCGACAGACCGTACCCCGACGATCTCCACGACAACCGTCACAACCCGCAGGTATGATGAGCGCTGAACGCCGTCACCACGGTAACGCAACTATTGGAGCGCTGGCAGTGCCCTGCTCACGAGGACCTGTTGTCTCTAACCACGGCAGTTATGGACAGTAGCCGATCAATAATCAATAAGCCTTTATGATCAAGTTTTGGAGGTGATAAACGTTCTTCTGGGATCCTCGCAAAAACCCTCGAAAGCATTACACAGTCACAAGATCTGACACGATTCAATCTATGCATTGGAAAAAACTACATAAAGTCATTATTGAACAATCTGAGACCAAAGGAGCCGAAC